CATGGAGAGAACACAGCAAACATGTGAATCAAGTCCTGGTCAGATGCAAACCTATGACATGAAGCATATTGAAAAACTAACACTGTACATCACCCCAAACATACAATTTTATTTTTATTTAATCTTTATTTTACCAGGAAGTCCCTTGAGATAAAATCTCTTTTTCGAGGGAGACCTGGCCAAGAGGCAGCAGTACAATAAGACATATACCCATATGAAGAAATATATGTGTGAAAAGAAAGCATATTTAATCCTAATGATGATGATGATACTTTTTTTTATCATTTAATAACAATAAATACTTTAATTTTTCTAAATGTAAATACAATACCTTACTATCAAATTTAAACACTCATATAGATGGTAATGCACAACTTATTCAGTGACTGAGTCTGAAAAGGAGTATGATTAAGTTTAACTTATATAATCATACCCCTTTTCCATGCATTAATTCATAGCATAAATAGTCTTCTGTTTCCAGTATCCTTTCCAAAAGGAGGAAAAAAGACAAAAACAAAATAATAAAAATATTACTATTTCCTGAACCAGATGAAAATAATACATAAACCCATATACGCATCTACCTGAATATATGCATAAAAAATATATACCTGTTTACACACCCACATATATTTGCACATAAACAAACCTACACCCAATTCCCAAGTCATCCCCAGTGCAGTAATTCCCAGCTGAATTTATCACCGTTACTTTTGAATAGTAAGCAATTCTAAGTCTTTTGTCAAAATACCTCATGCTTGGACTTTGCTGCAGTTCTTTAGAAAGTTTATTCCAGATCTTCACAGAAATGCACATTCTTTTCAAAATAAGTTGGCTCAAAGAAGCTGCATGAAAAGCATGTAACTTTTTAGGTTTTATTAAAAAAAAACAAAATGAAATAGAACAGAATTCAAGTGACACAAATGACAAGTTTAGTGACTTTTTGTTATCCTGAAAGCATAAAAAAATGTGCATCCAATACAACTAGTCTTTTAAAAACACTATAGAATCTAGAATCACTTAATTAAATCCAAACAACTAAGAATCTATGTTAACCACTGCAAACAGCAGTTGTGTTGCATTCAACTGGTTCAATGAGGCCTAATTGATGCATCTTTGCCAACAATACGACAATCTTTTCAAAAACCTTGCAGCTCTACAGTATATAATCTGCAGCCCAGATGCTGGCTCATCTCTGCATTCAGGCTGTGACCAACTTCCCTCTCATCTCCTGGCCGCTGAGCTCAGCTCTGCACAGCACAGCACAAAAACAGAACCAAGATATCTCCAGGCTATTTCAATCAAGAATGCAGCTCTTGCTTTACAAAGAGGTGACTCTAACAAACTCATTAATTTGCAAAATACAGCAGACAAATTTTACTTCTATTACAACTTAGTGAAAGGCGTAAAATAATTATCTCATTTTGGAATCAATAATGAGGAACCAACCCCCCACCCATCCATTTCAACAGTGTGAATGAACTCCAGTACACGGTCAAACTTCTGCAACGTCAAACAAAAACACAGGAGCTTCACTGCAGAAGTGATTATAATAGAGGTCTGCTACAGAGGAGGCATGTCACACAATAGACTTCCATATTCATACTTCCTCCACACCTGGTCCGCTTCAGAGCAGGAACCATGATCACACATCCCTCTTCATATAAAGCAGCTCATTGGGGCTGGCCAGAGCTTTACACGCTGCAGGAAATGATCACATTAAAAACTGTAGAATCTGCATGGTCAAAAAGAGGAAATGACAAATACATCCATGGACAGATTTAAGGTGGAATAAAGCTTGCTTCCTAAATCCAAATCATTATCTGGGACCCAGCAACAACTCTTTTTATGAAACTTGCCCGTCTATCATCAGACCTGTTGAAACAGATCTTAATAAGGCTTCCAGTAAAGCTGAAGAAATCTTGGACAGTTAAAAGCCCTCCAGGCTGTCTTTTTTTTTTACTCAATCAGAAACAACCTGCAACTTCATAACATGTGGCTGCCTGCTCCGCTCTGTCCCATTTAATTTTTTATTTTATTTTTTTTCTGCACAGTTCTACATTAACTTCTTGGTTTAAGTAAAAGGGCTATACAAACAAGAGGTGTTTTGTTTGATTGTTTTTACCTGTTGATCTTCAGAGCGAACGCCCTTCGCTCTGCGCTGCTGAGAGAAGCCATGCGGGGATCTGAAGTCCAGGGGCCACGGACCTGCTGTTTACGGCTCTGTCGCCTCGCTGTCAGCGCTTCGCTCTCCTGCTGATCGACTGTCAGAGGCTCATCTGGGCTGCGGCGGCTGCAGCTGCAGCTGTCCGGGGTGGAAACTTCCGCATGTGCTTTGAGGTATCCCGTGGAGGGAGTGAAGAGTGAGAAAGAGGGAGTCAGACACCCGGCGAGGAGGAGGAGAAGGAGGAGGAGGAAGAGGAGGAGCAGGGTGGGACAGGGCGGTTGCATAAAGCACGAGTTAACTCCGCTGATAGTATGGAAGCCCGTTTCTGCCACATGAAAAAAAATGCAGTATAGAAAGTCATAATTGTGAGATAATTTTTATTATGTCACTAATGTGCAATATTTTCCTCTCTCACTGTGCAATAACACTTTCCAACTATAGCCTGTGTAATTTTTTTAAATGTATTTATAAGGTCAGTACATCTCTGCAGTGGAAGGGCAATAACCAAAGTCCCTTATAGCGGAGGTCTTCAACAGGGGGACCGCGACACCTAGAGGGTCCACAGAGGTACTGCATGGGGGTCGGGAAATGTGTTGGTTGATTACACTTTTTTTTATTTTTTTTATTCCCCCCTTCAATTTTTCCCACTAATTGAAATGTCTTAAAGTACACATGAACACTTATTCAACTCGCTGAAGTAAACAGATAAAGCACAGCTTAACTTTCTCATTTGAATTGAGAAAGCTTCCTGGAGGGGAAGCGAAACGTCTTCAAACCTTGGCCACCAAGTCCAGTGGATTTTTTTTTTTTTTTTTTTTTGTTTTTTTTGTTTTTTTTTACTTTTACGGAATAAACAGATAAATGGAGGCAGAAGATGTCTTTCAGGCATCAATGCACATTCAGCGACACACAGGAGCTCTTTCAAGGGGGGCACAGTTTCACCACACCTGTCCCATCAACCAGGAAGCAGAATCAGAAATACTTTGATAATCCCAGGGTGAAATTACTTTCATTACATGACTCCCTATGTAATAGAGTCACTATAGGACCAGTTTGATATAACACAATTTCATACAATATAAATAATTAGGGGGTCCCCGCTCCATCTCGCTATCAGTTTGGGGCTCCTTGCCCTGGAAAACATTGAAGACCCCTGCCTTAGATCTCTATGGTGCAGATATTTTTTTCACCTAAGGGAAACATAATCCGGGACATTACAACTTTTTTTAATTATTTTTTAAAATCTTTTCTGGTACATTATACACACTTTTATACTGTCTGTCGTATTTTTATCTTTAATGGCATCTTGCTTTAACTCTTGTGCTCTAAATAAGCTACTGGAACCAGAATGTCCCTGAAGAAGTAATCCCAAGGGATAGAAAAGTTGAGTCTAAATCTAATTATGAGATGAAATGTTTGAAAGTCGAATATCTCATAATTATGACTTTGAAAGTTGAAATTATGACTTTGAACAGTGTTCCACAGAAATGGGCTTCAATAGAAATTAGCCTTATCAATCAGTCAGTTATTATTAATCTATATATCAGGATCCATTAATTACTTTATTAGATCGACTAAATCTATTTGGAAATATGCTTTACATTGTTAAACTCAGTCTCACCACAGTATTCATAAACTTAATCTTTTAATGGAGAGTTTCTGTGATTAGGTGCAGGTTTTTAAACTTTACTTTAAACAGTAATTCATTTCCTGTTTTTAACCATTTTAAACTGTCAGTAATAAGGTGTGGAAACTAAGAATGATAAATTATACACATAAACCTTTGTGTTTAGATCGTTGTTGTTTTTCTTGTTTTCACATTTTTGTTTTCCCATTTCTGATTTTTGAATATGAAGCACTGCGTGTTTTTCTTATTAATGTTAATAAAAGTGCTTTTTTTATTTTCTAGACAAAATATTAAATTAATTGAATAACTGCTTGATAATACAACGTCATAGTAAAATTTAAAATAATTAATATAATAATAAAGAAATATGTTTGATTTAACCTGTTAATTTGCCACTATAATATATAAAAAAAAAAAAAAAAAAAATTCTAATTTGGATCGTTATCCCCACTAGGTTCTCATTTAAATAATTTTGTCGCCATCTACTGGTTAATGTACGACACTGCAATATCATTTAGGCCGCTGGTGGTTACAACCATCCCTATACCATTTTGCTTCACTGGCTAAATTAAGTTACCCATTTATTAAATTGCTCTGCTTGTGTTTCTTGAATGCTACAAAAATTACGATAAAAATTAGATTTAGTTATGATAAAAATATATATCCTTTTTTGTGACTGCTTTCAAAGGCATATTTTATATGGTGAAAAATAAAAATAAATAACCAGTAGGCATCCATAAGTGGCTTTTGGTTTTATCATTGAGTGTGACACCGTAATAAACATACTCTTTACATATAGAGAAGACTGATTAATTTATTGACTGACCGATTATATGACATCTTAGTAATATATAATTTTATAGTAAAACTGAAAATTCGTAATAGAATAACAAAAAATCAACCAAATGTGTTAAACTACAATTAACAACAGAGACTAATCATATGTGTGATCAATTACACCAATAATAATATTTTAATAACAACATTTACAAATTTGTGGATTACTTTATGTGTTTAATTTAAAGGATTTATGTCGCCATCTAGCGGTTAATATATGTCATCGCATATACTTTTTAAAACCCTTTCTTCTAATGCTAAAAAAAACTAAACACTGACGTGCTTATTTTTCCAAATACGTTGTCATCTTTTAGAATAGCTACTTTCTGTCATCTTAGTATGTGAATGAAATCACTTTAATAGTTTTGTAATTAATAATTCTCGAACCTTAAAAGTAGTGGTAAAAAGCGGAACCTTTGGTGCGGCTTAACGAGTCTACCGGAGTGTAGTTAGTGTGGCACAGTGTCAAAATCACAAGTCCAGAGCTGCAAAGCTTTTTGAGGGACAAACGTTCAATCCGAGGTATTTCTTCTTGTTTTATGTAAATCAATGTCTTGTTTGTTTTGTTTTTTTGCCGCTGTGGTAGAGAGATAAACTGTCTGTACTTTGTTTCTTTATTACTGTTTAACAATTGCTTTTGATTATATCTAAATGACTAACTTCTTTGCTTTAGGAAATAAATATTTATATATAATATTTTGTTAGTAAATAAACCTGCCTTGAATTGTACAGACAGAAAACCGGATTTCACACATAATAGTCATTAACCCTTAAGAGCCGTTCTGTTGAATTAGCATTAATAAAAGCTGTTCTTATTAGATCTTATTGCTCATTAGGTTCACATGATGGAGGAGGAGGATGATTGTCCAGAGTTGGTGCCCATCGCAAGCGATCCAGGTCCCCCAGCTCAGCAGATCCCAGTCACCATCATAACTGGATACCTTGGTGAGATCTGTACTCATAGCTGCAATGAGCCAATCAGGGGATTAAAGGCTCAGACAAAGGTGCTGGATTGCCAGCTCTCAATGTTAGATGAAATCTAACAGGCATCTCACCAGTGTATCCACACGCATTAAACTTTTACCCATTTTACCAGGGCACAGCCACAACTTCACTGGCTGTTCACATACTTTCATCTCATTGGCGAACATAAACTTATACTTTTGAAAATATTATTTTACAGATAAAATCTGAAAAGTCTTGTTTATATTTGATCTAACCTCTAAATTGGACTCTAATTTGGCTCCAGACTTTGACTTTCACATGTCACAATGTGCACTATTTGTTGCTACAACACAAGGTTCTCAAATAGATCTGACTGAGACATTGATGCAGCAATGATTGGAGGGGAAATTTAGGAATAGAATAGAATTTAACTTTATTGTCATTACACTGTCACAAGCACATAGCAACAAAATGTAGTTTGAATCTATCCAGAAGTGCAACACAGGATATAAATATTTATTTACATGTTTGCAGAGACTATAATGGATTGACTGTAAATGGTAAATATAAACAGATAGTAATTGTAAGAGGCTATAAAATAAATCAAACTGGAATTATATACAAATTATACAGGAAATTTAGGAGATGGATTATATTTATATTAGTAGGGTTATAATACAGGATAAATTATGACAGATAATAGCAGATTTACAGATTATATACAGCTATAGTTGAGGATGAATTTGTTCTAACCGCAATTTAGTTATTTAGTAACAAATTAGTTATCATTTTACGACTCGTACACTGAAAATTAGGAAAGATGGATTGGGGAAAGGACTTGTCAGGACTGCAGGGTTTTTTTTTTTATGCATGAGCACTAAATTAGCAGTTGGTTTGTCTGTTACAGTAGAGTAACTGGCCACGGACCATGGTTCAGATTCACTGGCAGAATAGAACCGATTACCTTAACAAAATTGTCCTGTAGGTTGCTTCACACCTTTCCTGTTCCTGCTGAAGAAAAGAACCCCCGTGGGAAGATATTGTCCTGCTGTGTTTCATGGTGAGGGTAGGGTATTCAGGGGGATGTGCATTGTAATGTAGTTCAGAAAGTTCACTTGTGGTCTTGTATCTTGCCATTCTATTTAGAGAGTGCATGACAAATAAAAGTCCTACCAACATATTCCCCCATGCTAGCTTAGACAGAATCCTCCCTAACCCAAATCCTCTAATCATAGTTTTCAGATTTTTTTAAAAACAGAAAACGAAACTCTATATCTACTTTCCTTCTTCTGCTTCAATATTTCTACACTAAAATCTAAACTTTTCTCTACAGGAGCAGGGAAAACCACACTCCTGAATTATATCTTGACAGAACAACACAACAAACGGATTGCAGTGATCCTGAATGAATTTGGAGAAGGTAATAACGAGGATCAGACAATAGAAGACAAACAAACCAACTGAAAACACATACAGTCTGCTGTCTTGGTTTTAGCATCTTATGTTCCAAAAGTGCTTGATTTCATTGTTGTTTTTATTTATAATGTCAGAGTTTAAACAGGTTGATAGCTTTAGAATATCTGCTTTATTCATATTTTAATGCTTAATTCAAATTTGATATATATAGCCCAAAATAGAGCACAGATAGATAGATAGATAGATAGATAGATAGATAGATAGATAGATAGATAGATAGATAGATAGATAGATAGATAGATAGATAGATAGATAGATAGATAGATAGATAGATAGATAGATAGATAATGACTAGATTATTTTTTGTGTCCATTCTAAGGGAATTTAGATTATATGCAGGGAATGGGTACCATATGGGAATGGTACAAAGTTATTGTTACAGTTCACCTCTGACAGCATTTTTCAAATTATCATTTATTTGAAGGGATCATATGTACTCTAGAAAATTGTAGAATTTGCTTTTAGAGATTTTGGATTACTATTCTGGATAGTAATTCAAAAAGTAGATAGAGTACATAAACAGTTTATGATCCTTGATTTATATCATATTAAATAAAATCGTATTTTTCTCTGTTTTTAAAAGTATCTTAGAGTTGCCACTGCACTGATTTTCTGTTTAACATCTAGACCATCTGCATTTTTGGTTTAAAGCCGGACCTGTGGTGTGTTTTAAAAAAGAATATTAAATATATTGTATTTATATTGTGTATATATTTTTATCTTTTTTTATTTTTATCTTTATTATCTTGTGTGGTTGGATGTGTGTATATATATATTTATATAAAACTGTAACTGGAGCTTGTAACAAAAGTAATTTCCCTCTGGAATTATTAAAGTATTTCTGATTCTGATTCTGAAATGCATCAGGGTGCTCTCAAAAATCTGTATTTGGTTTATGACAATCCAATTCAAATTAAACAAGTCCAAGAGTTTGAAATACAGCTGATCTGAGATAATCTGGTTATTAAAAAGGGAAAAGAAACAGCACTATATATACTATAAACCACTATGTACTTTAAAAAAGTTTGAAGTTTTATTTTTACCTTTATAGTATTTCTGAAAGCTGTTTCCTCTGTTCCGCCTGCACCTTTTCTCTTTTCCTGCAGGAAGCGCTCTTGAGAAGTCGCTTGCAGTGAGCCAGGCAGGAGAACTGTATGAGGAGTGGCTGGAGCTGAGAAACGGCTGCCTCTGCTGCTCTGTTAAGTATGTGTTGGAACTGAAGTTCATTTCAAATGCATTCATTAGGATTTGTTTCATTTATAAATTGTTAGAATTGCATAGAAAAAAGTAATATTTCTATTCTTGTTTCTTAAAATTGGAACAAATGGTTTCTCTAATTGATTTATTATGTTAAAGAAAATGATGTTTACCTCCAGGATTTGTTGACATTTGAAGCTTCTTTTGAAACTTGCTACCAAAGTTGACAAGTTCTCAAACAGCGACTATTTAATTTAACCTCCTTCCTCATTCCATTTAATTAATTGGATCTTAACAGGGGAATGTAAGGGAAATTAAACTACTTTTTTGCTTCACAGTTATCCATACCGGAAGAAAAAGATTGCTGGTCATACTTTAAAGTTTTGGTTTTGGTTATTAATCTCTATAGCATGATTTAGAAAAGAAAAGATCACTTCAGTATTTTTCAAATAAAGACTTTTAAATGATGAGTAATGGTTTTTCACATTTATTTATTTTTTTCTTCAGGGATAATGGACTTAAAGCCATAGAGAACCTGATGGAGAAGAAAGGAAAGTTTGACTACATCCTTTTAGAAACTACAGGACTCGCTGATCCTGGTAACACACATCATGCTAAATTCATAATAGGGTTTGATTTTCATAAAACACTAGTTTCACTGTGATTGCAGGGATTACATGGGACATTTTCTCTGTATTCACAACTTTGGCCAGAAAAGATATTATTTAGTCAGTGATGCTTCAATCCCTGCTGAAGAAAGACTGGTACCTAAAGGGGACATCAGCAGGAAAAGATTGGGAACCGTTGGCTCAGGATTTAGTTTTAATCTTCATCTTGTAACTTTCATAATCTACATAATTGTCATTTCCCTTCCAACCCGGTTGTCACCAATCTATACTCACCTAAATGTTTTTTTGTTCTATGCTATGTGTAATTCAGTTAACTTAATTGATTTAGCTGAAATTCACAACACTTGATCTCAAGACACCTTTAAGAAAAAAATTCAGACAGATCATAGATTGATTAAAGTTTATAAGACTCAGCTGAGTCATTGAGGCCCCGTCCACACGAAGCCGAACCCTGGCCTAAACGCACACATTTTTCACCAAACCAGCCTCTCATCCACACGAAGCCGGCGTTTCGGGGGTCTGTAAATGATTTTTTTTTTATTCAGCCTTCAGAGTGGGAAGATTTCGAAACGCCGTTTTCGCGTTTCCATCTTTACGCTCTAACCGCATTTTTTTTTTTTTTTACACGCATGCGTCATAGCGTCGCCTCTAAACACGCATGCGCGACACAGTATCACAACAACAATGGCGCCGTTGCTGCTAATGCTACTCACCCTGCTGTCGGGCTTACAACAGAATCTTCTTCTTCTGGAATATCTCCAGGAAGAACAGAGCAATATCGACGACATAGTTCAGCACCTGAATTTGACTGAACCACGAAAATGGGCCCGCAGGGCAAACATGTATAAATATTAGTGCGCATGCCCAACATTTCGTCGCTTATTTTTGCTTTGGCACCACAGCGCCACTTACAGGCCTGGCATACATTTTGCAGCGTTTTCATGCATTCGTGTGGACGCTCACATTTATTTTACGTCTCCGTCTTTACGACAAACGTTTTGGAAAATATCAGCGTTTCGTGTTCGTTTTGACTTCGTGTTGACGGGGCCTGAGTTTTTAGGATTTACTTGTCCTGGATTACGATGTGGTGACAGTGGCCAGTTGTTGATTTTGCTGCAACCCCCTCATACCGAGCATACATGCAGCGACTGGGGAGAGGAAAAACTCCCTTTTAACAGAAAGAAACCTCCAGCAGAACCAGACTCAGTGTGAGCGGCCATATGCCGAGAACAACAAGAGTTCAAGGAGATAGAAGCAGCCATAAAAGAGTAACATAGAAGCACTGATCCATAAATAATTTGTATGTTAGTAAAGGTAACAGTAAAATAGTTCCATAGGTGGATCTGTCTGGGGAAGAAACACTTTAACAGATGAGCTCTGATTTGGTTTTCATGTCAGGAAGGATGAAAGACAACAAATATAGTTATAAACAGAAAAAAGGGGAGCCTTTTTCTACTGTATATCTAGGAAAGAAACAGGACCAAACACTAAATTACAGTCCCAAATTGATCATCTGTATTTGAAGTCATTGGGGTTTGATGTCTCAGTAAGTAGTTGAGTTAACAAATAATGCAAAATTGGAAAATACAGGAAGAATGATGAAAAGCGGTCCCGGTGTCCTCCAGCAACCTAATTATGAAGCTGCAGAGACAGCTCGGGATAACTGGTGTTCTGTCAGATGAGCATACTTCGTCAGACCAGCATACCCATAATACGCATTTGCAAAACGTCAGATTTGCATTTATCCCTTTAGTTTTAAACTACCTCAACGGGCATGTATCCCTTAAGTCGTGTACAAAAAAAACAAACAATTTAAGGTGAGATCACCATATGCTTAAAAAACACCAAAAAAAGTAAGTAATTAAATCGTTTTTTTGTACATGACTAAAGGGATACGCACCCGTTAAAGTAATTTACAGTTTATATTTCGTACAAAACTAAAGGGATAAACGGTATGCTCATCTGACAGAACACCGGACCTGTCTATGTTTTATCAGTTTGTGCCTCCTAAAAATAATAAAGATGTATTGAATAAGCTGATTGGTTGATAAAAATAAAAAAACAAAAATTTATAGAAAGAGAATGTTACAGCTCCTGTGAGTGGGCTTTGTTTTGAGTTCAAAATAAAACCTTTTTTCAAAATAGTATTTTTTTTTCTTGGGGAATAACAGACTTTGGGGTTAAAAATTTTGTGAAACTACTGCTATAAAATGTTATTAAATTTCACTCATCAAAAGTTATACAAGAGTTTAAAAAATATTCCCCCTTTTTAGATGGTTCAAGATTCAGCATTTATTAAATACTTTTTTCTTTGTTGTTCATGTTCGAATTGATATTTTCGCTTGATACTTTTAAAATCTCCCATTAAAAGTTGGACATTTTCTGATAAGGTGAAGATTAAAGCTGTTTTTCTGTGACAGCAACACCAATGGGAAGCCAGGAAGGCGTCTAACTGTCCGTTCATCACTTTGTTGGTAAAGTTGAAATCAGCTTTAGGCTATTAAAGGGCGAGCATTGTGGCATGTTGCTAAGTGACAGGTGTCAGGAGGTAGCATTACAGGCAGACAGTCGCCATCCCAGCTCTCACTCAAAACAAACAGAGCAGACTCAGACCGGGGCTGTCCCTGCTCCTCTTTCTTGTCATTGGCTCGTTATTGACCCCGACAGGCCCGTCATTGGCCCCGACAGCTCTGTCAATCATAGAGAGTCCTGGGAGGATTCTCCTCTGCTCTGTCCAGCAGTAGGTTGGATAAGTTATTTGAAACATGCCATTTAAAAACTGTGAGCATTATGCATCCATCAAATATTCTCATTTTTTTACTCATCCTGCTGACAGTTTGACAAACGTGTGAAATGGAAACAAACCAAATGTACCAGAAGGACTCAAACAATTGATAGCCTCTGAAATTGCTTTTATCTGTTTATCTGAGCTCAGCCTGAAAGAATAGTTTAAATATGAAATGCTCAAAGAAGATTGATTTCTAAATACAAACAGGCATGCATCACATCTCACATTTTGGTGGTTTAAAATACCCTTCTCAAGCTGTGTCAATTTTTTTTAGCATTTTGTCTGACAAAAGAAGGTCAAGAGGGTATTTTAAATTAAATTAATTATGATTGTAATATTCCTTGAACCTCTCTGCTGATTTATAGATCTCAATTCTTAAGGAATCAGCAAAATAAACCGTAATTCTAAAATTGATAATAGTGCAATAGGCCTGAAAACAGAAAAATGCAGCAATCATACAAAATAGGAAGGAGCAAATGCAAATATGTTGTGATTACAAAAAGCTGCATGATTTCAAAAAAAAAGAGAGAAAAATGAAATCTAGCTTCAAAACAGAGGAAATCAGTCACCAAGTCAGATGTTACTACCACAACATTTTTTGTAATACTGGGAAATCTAGGTTCTGTGCAAATTATAGCTCCTAATTCTAATTCCTAGCTCCTGAAAATGATTTTCTCTGGCATCATTATATCGGTAGACAGGTTCATAAATCTGATTTTAAGCAGAGCAGAGACACAATTAGGGACAGCTGCAGATTTAAAGGTGAAACAGATTTACAGGGATATGCAACATGCAATAAAATATGTCTCCAAGAAAAAAACGACGGTATGCTATACTAAAATTCAACATATAATTTTGTCTTTTGTAGTTCAACAAGACTCAGAAATAGCTGTGCCAGCAACCCAGAGACAACCAGACTCACAGGACACAGACTTAAAATTAAAATATAAGAAACCTACAAGAATTAAAGCGCAAATAATACAAATCAGCGTATAAATGATTTTTGAAATATAAGGTTCAATATATAGACTTTGGCTGTCAACGACATATGGGACAAATTTCTATATTAGATTTTGCTGCTTGTAAAGGAGGATAATCACTGATGCAGCTTAAAGGGAAGCCATGCATGGATGGATGCATGGAATTGAAGTTGTGTCCATACTAGGGATGCAGGATATATTGCTGTTGGCATCGGATATCGGTTGTTATTCGTCATTTTTTATACATTAATGTTTTTGAGCCCTTTATAAATAATGCACTAAAGGCAGGCATCTGTCTATAAATATAAATATGTGTACTGCGGTTCTCTTGTTGTCTCAACAATAGGAAAGCATTCAATAAATATGTTTGAGCTCAATTTTGGAAAATATAAACCCTATCAGCCACCACCCTTAGAGCGTCCCCACCAACTTTTATCACAAAGTTACACCCTTGTTTTGTCCCATATTAGTCTGGTCACATACAGGTGCTGGTCATAAAATTAGAATATCATAAAAAAGTAGATTGATTTCAGTAATTCCATTTAAAAAGTGAAACTTGTATATTATATTCATACATTACATACAAACTCATATATTTCAGATGTTTATTTTGTTTAATTTTGATGATTACAAATGACAACAAATGAAAATCTCAAATTCATCATATCAGAAAATTAGAATATTACTGAAGACCAATAAAAACAAAGGATTTATAGAAATGTTGGCCAACTGAAAAGTATGAACATGAAAAGTATGAGCATGTACAGCACTCAGTATTTAGTTGGGCCTCCTTTGGCCTGTATTACTGCAGCAATGCGGCGTGGCATGGAGTCGATCAGTCTGTGGCACTGCTCAGGTGTTATGATAGCCCAGGTTGCTCTAATAGTGGCTTTTAGCTCTTCTGAATTGTTGGGTCTGGTGTATTGCATCTTCTTCTTCACAATACCCCATAGATTTTCTATGGGGTTAAGGTCAGGAGAGTTTGCTGGCCAATTAAGAACAGGGATACCATGGTCCTTCAACCAGGTACTGGTAGCTTTGGCACTGTGTGCAGGTGCCAAGTCCTGTTGGAAAATGAAATCTGCATCTCCAAAAAGTTGGTCAGCTGCAGGAAGCATGAAGTGCTCTAAAACTTCCTGGTATGTGGCTGCGTTGACCCTGGACCTCAGAAAACACAATGGACCAACACCAGCAGATGACATGGCACCCCAAACCATCACTGACTGTGGAAACTTTACACTGGACTTCAAGCAACGTGGATGAAGTGCCTCTCTTCTTTTCCTCCAGACTCTGGGACCTTGATTTCCAAAGGAAATGCAAAATTTACTTTCATCAGAGAACATGACTTTGGACCACTCACCAGCAGTCCAGTCCTGTTTCTCTTTAGCCCAGGCAAGACGCTTCTGACGCTGTCTGTGGTTCAAGAGTGGCTTGACACAAGGAATGCGACAGCAGAAACCCATGTCTTTCATACGTCTGTGTGTGGTGGTTCTTGAAGCACTCACTCCAGCTGCAGTCCACTCTTTGTGAATCTCCCCCACATTTTTGAATGGGTTTTGTTTCACAATCCTCTCCAGGGTGTGGTTATCTCTCTTGCTTGTACACTTTTTTCGACCACATCTTTTCCTTCCCTTCGCCTCTCTATTAATGTGCTTGGACACTGAGCTCTGTGAACAGCCAGCCTCTTTAGCGATGACCTTTTGTGTCTTGCCCTCCTTGTGCAAGGTGTCGATGGTCGTCTTTTGGACAACTGTCAAGTCAGCAGTCTTCCCCATGATTGTGTAGCCTATAGAACTAGACTGAAAGACCATTTAAAGGCTTTTGCAGGTGGTTTGAGTTAATTAGCTGATTAGAGTGTGGCACCAGGGGCCATCAATTTTGAACCTTTTCACAATATTCTAATTTTCTGATATGATGAATTTGAGATTTTCATTTGTTGTCATTTGTAATCATCAAAATTAAACAAAATAAACATCTGAAATATATGAGTTTGTATGTAATGTATGAATATAATATACAAGTTTCACTTTTTAAATGGAATTACTGAAATCAATCTACTTTTTCATGATATTCTAATTTTATGACCAGCACCTGTATAGCCTGGTGATTGACTCCTTCTAGCGGTCTGGTGAAATCACTGCTGTTTTTTTTTTGCAACATTTTTCCTGTTGCTTGTATCTTATTTATCTGATTGCAGCATTTTTTTTTTCTTTTGCAGTTTTTTTCTGTTACATTTGTTTTGGGGTTTTTTGTGCGTGTGTTTTAGAGTTTGTATCATTCATGTCTTCACAGTGAATGGTCTCATTTGTTGCATCTTTAGCCCTTGTTGTAAAGTTTTACTGTAAATAGTATATTTAACATTAAAAAGATGCACAAGCTCATAAACTTATGAATTAGATCTTTGTCCTTAAGTCCAGTTTAATGTTTTTTCTGCTATTTTGTCATTTTAATATACTCCTCTTTGCAGGAGCTGTGGCCTCCATGTTTTGGGTTGACGCAGAACTTGGAAGTGACGTCTATTTAGATGGTAGGAGTTTTAAAATCTCTCTCTGTAGTTTACAGTATGTCCTTGCTTTGCATATTCCTTTAAATGTGCTCTCTTTTTTTAAGAACCCTCATTTAAAAATAAGAATGAAATAAAATTTAATAAAGACCTATTCAAGTCTAAAGTTTACCTTTACACCTATTGGATGTGAATTTTACTTAATTAATTACATTTTCTCTTTGATTTTACTGCTTTAAAATGTATTTGACCTGTTAGTGGAAACAATAAAAATAAATAATAAATTTCTAGGTAAAGATTAAATGTTTATATTTATCTGATCTAAACATGATGAAAATTATACATGAAGGCTATGCAATATGCTTGCAGCTCCACTGTTATTTAGTTTAATGATCCTGATGAAAATCAGACACTTTTGGCTCGAACAGTTTTAAAGCACCATCGCAGTGAGCTTCAGACATAATCCCTCCTGAGTGTTTGTCTTTTCTACTTGGCAGAAATTGTGGTGGCCTTTTGCAATATGCAATATTAATATCAAAAATGTATTTCTGTTTTTTCTTTTTACATATTTTGTTAAACGGCCAAATAACGACTTCAAACCAAAAAAAAAAGTAATTTTCTGTTTTGTTTTATTCTTGGATCGGGCTTTAAAGGGCTAATAACAAAGAGTGTATGAGCAGACTGCGTCATCTCCTTACAGTCAGCCTCTGTAATCATGAAATTTCAGTCATTCATAAATATCCTTCCCTAGCTTCCCTACTGTGCCAACCGATTTCAAATGATGATTCTGCTTAGCAGTGTGATGATCCTCAACTCCTATCGTTGTTTCCTGCTTCTGTAAGCCCTGATTAGACTATAATTTGTCGTATCCACTTCCCAAAAGCCAACTCTGTAAAGTAAATTCACCAAAGGCTGCCTTCTTTGCCTGACTCTTCGCAAACATCCTTAAATGTTACGGGTGTTGCCATGTTGATTGCTTGTTTACCTCTAGAGAGCAGTAGTACCGTAGCATGGTGTGTAAATGGTCGTAAGGAACTGCGCTCGGCACGGTTAACTGATCCAAGCTTGGCAGGGATTGGTTTTCAGAGGGTAGTGTAAACTGGGCGAATATTTTTGCTCTGTAATCTATGGATCAGTCAGTCAGCGCTTGACATATGAACAAAATAATGATGCTGGTTTCCTCTCCTGCTTTCTGGTTTCACTTTACTAGGCTAAATATAATGCATTGATTCATAAAGCTTTGAATCAGTTTAAATTTAAACATTTTAAACTTTGCCACATAAACAGGCAGCTAATATTTCAGCATATTTCGTTTATTGAGGGTTAAATAAACATTGGCATCCATTTTAGCTAGGCTGTGCTGAAGCCTTAATGGCTCCTCTGTTGTTTGTGAAAATACTACCTCAGGGTAACCGTTTCCCAAACAGTTACCTTTGAGGCAACATTAAAAATCTAAAAAGGAAAGTCTGTTGAAAATATGTTTAACAATCCATCTTGTTAAAGTTATCTTTACAATTTCTGTAAAAAAAAAAGGCAGTAAAATGTCCAGCCAGAAGTATTCATGTTTATCACTGCAGGTCGTATGTGGTTTAAGTGAACTTATTTTGTATATTTTTGAAACTGTACCTGTTCATGAAAGGATACAGTAGATGTATGCTTGTTCACAATCAATGTTCTAGAAATGTATTAAAGCTGTGGTTGCAGAAAGAATTAAAAAAGCCTATACGTGAATGACTTTTGTACCCAAAGTAAGGGAATATTTAGCTCAGACTGAAACCAAAAATGTTCAACCAGATATAATTAAAGGTATTGTGGAGGAACCGCCCCCTTCATTTAAAAAAATAATTTGCGTGCAAGAGCATGCACACGCTCATTTCTCCCCTTGCTCATCCTGTTTAAAACGTGCTGTTCTCATAGCTCATACAAGCTTACTGTGTCCACATACAGCCGGGACTATATAGTGGACTTTATAACAAACTTAGTTACCGTACTTTCACAACCATAAGGCGCACCGTACTAAAAGGCGCAGTCTCAGTTATGTTTGCCATTACTGTATTTAACACACACATAAGGCACACCGGACTATAGGGCACGGGTTTTATATACCGTTAAATATCCTCTACTACGTTTAAATACCTCTACTGCGTATTTAAAAATAGAGCAAAACTGAGTATGATTGTGCTTTATTCATGTATTTATTACAAACTATTAATCAAACCCATCAAAGTCATCATCCACTGTTTCTGAATTAACAGCTGCGCTAAATCAGACATGCCAATTTCCCCTTCTTCGCTGTCAGAGTCGCTCCTCTGAAACGATGCCTGCTTTTGCGAAAGCTCGAAACAACAGTGCCAGCAGACACGTTAGCCCAAGCATCTACAATCCATCCACAAACTGTGGCGTAACTTGCCCGGCGCTCCCGGAATAACAGCGAGCACAGCGTTAATTTGTTTCACCTTTTTTTTTTTTCACATCGGCTGTGAGATGGGCACACATGGAGTCACAGATTAACAGCGATAGTGATGCGTGGAAAAAAACACCTTTTCATTTGCCTTGATAACGACTCCAGCTGGAAAAGTCTCTTTAGGCAAAGTCTTTCGCTTAAAAATCACCATAGGCGGCAGTTTCTGTCCATTTGCGTGGCAGCCAAGCACAACAGTAAAAAACGCCTTTTCATACCCCGTTGTGTGTATCGCTACCGTGCTGGTCCCCTTCTTCTCCACCGTGTGATTCACCGGGATGTCGAAAGTGAGCGGCACCTAATCCATGTTGGTGCTGTGGCTTGGCTGGATGCGTTTGTCGGCGATGTGTTTGCTGCAGTAGGAGTGGAAGCTCGCCAGCTTTTCATTATAATCCGCCAGACGTTACTGAGCTACTGTAGTCCTGGTCCGGATGGAAAAATTGCACCGTTTCATAAAACGAAAGCACCACGATGGACCTCCTTGAAAATGTTCAATTTTCATTTCTTCCGCTTAATTTCCATGTTCCTCTGCGTAGCTGATAGCCTTCAGTTTAAACTGTGCTTCATGGGTGTGTCTCTTTGCCATTTTCAGGGTTGTTAAGACAACAATGTTCTGCATAAAGCACATACCTGTTCTTTTATACACAATCCACGCCCACACTTCCCCCTTTAATGTTCTCATGGCGGTCTCAACAACGTCCGCAGTAACACATAGGGCGCACCGCACTATAGGGCGCGCCGCACATTTTGAGGGGAAAAAAAGACGTTTATATATGCGCCTTATAGTCGTGAAAATACGGTATTTGACCTTTCAGACACATGATCAGTGCTATTTGCTCCGTTGGTCACGAAACTCCTCCTCCTTGCGTCTGTGCAATCTTTATTATTCGCCGCTGTCTGGTAGCCACAGCCTATGGCGACAGTGGGCTGCTGTGACAGCAAATCCCATAATGCTTTGTGAGGAGAGCTCTCCGTGCAAAGCATTCCAGGATAAATCTGCCTCTTCTGACGCCTTTTTTTCTTCTCATACACTTCATAGCCACTTTTTTTTCTTAAAACCATTTTCAAAGAACCGCAGTAAGAAAGTTGAGCTTCTATGACTGTCTGAAACCGTAGCTCACCACATATATAATCCTGAAAGTGTGCATGTGCAGAAAATGATAGCTAATGGGACGAGCACGTAGGACAGTCTTATGTAAAAACATCACCAGAATGATTGACAATTAGGAGGACCACTTATTTAGATGATCCACCCTGAAATAAAAGATAATCTTCTATACCTTTAAGTGACAAACTTTAACCAGAATTTTGTCTACATTTTTATTACATCACATTTGGTTAACCGATTCTATTTTTTGCGAAACAGTAAAAATTTATTATTATTTCATTGACCTGATGTTAAAGGTCTGACATGTTTGAAAGAATGATCTTCTGCTCCTCAAACAAAATGTTCAGCTGTCCTCTCTTTTCAGACTGATTTGTTCACCAGGTTTTCTCTCTTTAGAGAAACACAGCCAGATGCCCAAAGGCAGCCTTGGTTTAGGAGAGAAGGAATTCAAATTTTGGTGCTTTGCTTTATGCTTAAAATCCTTTTTGCTACCCCTTCTGTAGGCATTGTGACGGTGATTGATGCCAAGTATGGGCTCCAGGTAAGTGGTGGAAATATCTCTCTTAATGTTCACAATTGAAAAACAAAATCTGGAATTATTTTGCTGTAGAGACAAAAAAAAAAAAAAAAAAATATATATATATATATATATAAAATATACAGTTGCAGGATTTAATAAGGCGACCTGAACGTTTGTCCTTCCTACCATGGTACAGTTAGTAAAGCTGTGTCTGTCCAACCTCTCAGAGCCCCCCCATCATTCTAGTGAACAAACACATCCTGCCTCCTTTGTGCTACTTAAAAGGAACAAGACAAGTGCCACCCAGATAATGGGCTCTAATTTAGAGGTGTCATGCTCAGTGAAGTGACGCATTTCATGGCATTTGAGCTGTTCTGTCCTCAGACTGTTGTGAAGTGAGATGAAGGAAATCCTGACAGAGAGAAGGAGGAAACCCAACACATGTTGACAGAGTAATTGATATCAGAGCAGCGACCATTGTTATTGCGCTGTCACCTCCTCTAATCTGCCTCTCGTGTCATTTAAAAAAAAATCTACCTGTTCTATGAGTCAGACCATCTAAAGATGGAGCTTCTCTTACCAACGTAGTTATTAAATAACATAAACATTTGTGTTAAAGTAACTAAAAATTATTAATTTAATGCCAAAACCTGTTGCATTATTTGTTTTGGTGTACATTCTGTTATCACGGTGCACTGTGAATTTATTAACACTCCTTTACCTTGGGTGCGTTGAGCGGAGCTTGAGGTATTTTTTAGCTTTAAAAGGCTTTAAAACCATGAACCGTCAATTCATAATTTTATACTACTTTAAGTTACTCTATCACATAAAACGGTGTTGAATTAAATGAAGTGTGTGGCTGTGGGCCAGATCATGAGTAAGTCGATCTTTTGGAAGGGAGGGACAGCAAAGTAGTTTTAAAAGGAGAATGTTTTGAGATGCAGGTTTCAGCAGGATGGTTTCTTGTTTTCAGATGGTTTTAAAATATCTTCCTATATGGTAAAAACTATGCTTGTTATTATTAACTTTTTTATCTTTTTTGTAGCAACTAAAAGAGGAAAAAGCAGATGGACTTGTCAATGAAGCAGCCAGGTATGGCAGCTTTTATGCTGCTCTTTTTTCACTTATTGTATCAAAAAACAGGCGAGTATCGTCTACATAAGATGACCCTATATACTTGCTGAATAGAGGTTTCTGAGTTTATTTTGATTTAATGTCCTTAGACAGATCGCTCTTGCAGATCTTACCATTATCAATAAGACAGACCTGGTGGAGGAGGAGGAACTGAACCAAGTCCGAGACTCTGTCAGGTTCATAATAACTTCTCACAACCAATTCTCTGTCAGAGAGATGTTCATACTGCTGATGATCATAGTTTTTCTTCTTTACCCATAGGTCTATAAATGGTCTTGTAAAGATTCTGGAAACTCAGAGATCAAGGTAAGTCCCTTTTTTTTCTAAACAGATGAAGGGTCATTCTTTAGGATGGGGTTAAGTAGATGTTGCTCTGGTCTAGATCTCCTGCTGTGTTATCATAACTCCTGCTCAGATCTTTGTATCAAAGATAAAGCAGTTCAGACAAGGGGGACGTGCACATAGGCAAACACAAACTACAGCGTCCTGAGTAAACATCGACTGCACGTTGGTGTTTGGTTACCCACAAGTCTGTGCTCTCTGACCCCGGAGCCAGCAGGATGGCTCGGTTTTTGAATGTGTGTACCAGCCTGCAGAGGCCTAACACAAGCTGGTATAAATGAGAGGTCCGGGTTTGTGTCAAGGCTTTGCGCCGCCCTCCTGCAGAGCTCAGACCTGCACTGCAAAAAATATAAATCTCAATAAGTTATTTTTTCTTAAAATAAGTGTGTTTTTCCTTGATTTGAGGAGATAAGTAAGACACTTTGCCAATGGAACAAGACAATTTCCTTTTAAAATAAGAAAAAACTATTTTATCGTCTTATTTCAAGTAAATATTATCTAACTATCTTATTTTAAGAGTGAAAATACTCATTCCATTGGCAAATCATCTTATTTACCTGCTCAAATTAAGGCTAAATATACTTAATTTAAGCCATTTTTTACTTCTTTCTGGATTGTTTTTGCAGTGTGGGTGTAGGATGAAAGGCTGTGCAGTGTGAGGGTTAATTGAAACAACATTGTGAAAGCATTCATCGTTGGTTGCTTCACTTTATCTTTAAGGCTAGTTAAGGACCAGAGCTAAAATGTATTTAATCTTCTTTGCAGGGTGGATCTCTCTCAAGTGTTGGATTTGCATTCGTTTGACTGTAAGGATGGAGCGAAGTGAGTTGGTCACTTTTGTTTTATTCTAATGCACAGAGTTCTAGTCATTAATTAAAAAAAAAAGCTGTAGCACTTTTTGAAATGTAAAAATTCACAAATACAGAGTCGCTGAGGTGTGCAAACACTATGTAAATATGTGAACTCTCAGCAAAAAAATAGACTTAGTCCCTGAAAACTCCAAATATGATCTTTTTGGTCTGATCTGATAAAAATTGCGTTGCATGGGGTCATGCTGTTTAGTGCTCATTTAGAGTCGATGGAGATGATCACACCCAACATCATTTTCTGCAGGCGACTTGCGTAGCTCAGATTGAGATAGACACCAGGGCTATTTTAGTCGCACTATGCAGCAATTTAGTGGAAATGTAATTGGTCTAAAAGGAAGACAGAAATAGTTGCATAGTAAAACACATCCGCTTTTGGCAAAATATAAAAAAAAATCTCACAATTCCTCACCTCCTTTCGGTGGTCAATGATACTACAGCTCTTAAGGTGCGAGTTATGCAAACAAAAATGGCGGCTCCCAAAACATTCAGGAACCTATGTGCGTCTTCCTCCCAAATTTCACTGAGAGCATCATCCCAGGTCCCACCATGCTATTTTGATGCCATTTATTATTAACATCCTGAGAAGGAGTTTGTGTTGTGAACAGGTGAAGAGATCTGTGAATTACAAAGCCAGACACAGTGGAAAACCTGCAAAATGAGTCAGCTGACTGTAAATTGGAGATCATGCGGTTTGCTCATGTGCTCTTTGTCATCGGAGAACTGAAACACAACTGAACCGTGCTGAGCCCTACTGTTAAACTAGTACTATATCTAGCGCGGTTCGGTTGTATCTTGCACAGCCCAGTTCAGTTGCATTCCATTTACACTCAACAGTTATCTCGGTTACCGTGCTCGGACCGCTCTCTGCATGGTTTCAAAAGGGTAATCTATAGGCACATTTACACTACCCTCTGAAAACTGATCCATGACCATATTGTAATATGCAATTACCCTCCACTGCACTTTAATTTAGATAGCTTCTGTCCAAACTTTATTTATTCATTTTATAGTAAAATCCATCTGTATATATGCTATTGTACGTAACTGTAAAAACCCTCTTTATAGTAATATCCACCTGTATATTATATTCGGTACATATCCAGCTGTAAATTTAGTTCATAACACTAGTTATCTATATATTATATTCATCTATTAGCAAGATTCTGTTTATAATGGTATTCAGTTGAAACCCATGTCCTGTATTTATGGAACCATTAGTTATCCAGTACATGCTGCTATTGCACTTTTGGTTAGACCTAAACTGCATTTCGTTGCCTTGTTCCTGTACCTGTGTAATGACAATAAAGTTGAATCTAATCTAATCTATTGGATCAGTTAACAGTGCCGAGCTCAGTTCCTTAAGACCATTTACGCACCACTCTAGCACGGTTCCTCGCCTCCTAGTGACGATCTATGGTACTCCTGCTCTCTAGAGGTAAAAGAGCAAACCAAAATGGCGGCGCCATGGCAACATTGCTGGCACGGTTCAGTTTTGCGTTTCATTTACACTCAACAGTTATCTCGGTTAGCGTGCTCGGATTGACCTTGGCCCGGTTTCAAAAGGGTAGTGAAATGGGTCTTTGGTCACTGAAATCTTATACCTGTGTGGACAGTGAAGGCCCACCCAACCCAGCAAATATGTTCACGGGAAGCATAGTTTAAATGTGCTTCATGTAACTGAAATGAAAACTACCCTCTGAATCCAGTCAGCCCTTTGTGAAACCTAAACCGAACACATATTGCAACTTTACAAATTTCTTAATATATTTCTTGATAGGGACCTGTGACCTGATACTCCAGATCTTATCTGAAGATCGCCAGTGTTGTTGTTGTTTTTTTTTTATAAAACTCAATGAAAGATGAATCTAATTTTTTTTGTCGTTTAAATAGAGTATCAAATAGTCAATCGATATGACCTGATATTTTATCTAATAATCAAGTCTGCGTCTTTTCTTCAAGGTACTTGTAATTTGTGAGAATGTTTTAACTGCTAAGGAAAGCACAAAGTGTTTATATTAATTTCCTTTGCAATGTATGACATAATTTAGTGTTCTTCTTAAACTAGCAGAATAGAAATATTTATAGTCAGTTGTTAGCTTTTGTTACTACATTGTCTGAGTTGCCTTTGCAGCAGCCTTTGATGCTTCTCTCTAATTAACGGACTCCTTTTCTACTGATTGTCCCGCTGTCACACCACAGGATGGTCATCGTGTTGTATCCCCCAGCTGAATCTCATTCTCATGAATAGAATTGGTGTTCATCCCTTCATGTGAATGAACCGGCCGCCGTGTTAAAGTTGCCTTACGTGCCCCGAGTCAGTGTCTCTTGACCAGCTGCAGAGGATTAGAGCTGTGTGTGTCCACTGGCACCTAGTGAGCCCCCCTTGTCCCAACAGATAGCCTCTCTCCCCCTGCCTTTTGAGTTTTGGTCCCTCCTCATTTTCAGCCCCATGCTGGCCGTTTGAAGCGCCCCCCCCTGCAGCTCAGCCTGTGTGGTACTTACAGCACGGAGGGCTCAAGCAGCTGGATGCAACATTTAGCCTCCTTGTGAGGTCAGAGAGAACAGGGGTAATAGTTTGTTTGGGAGCTGTTCTCAGTATCCAAGAGGATTTAATTGCCATTTGTAAAGCATTCGCAGGTCCATTTAGGAATGTTATTAAGCATTGACACAGCTATGAGATTAAGTGCAATGGGTAAAGGTTTTTCTGTTAAGCAGAAAAGAAGAAAGAAGATTAAAAAGCAGGGTCTATAAAAAAATAGATTACTTTCTTGCTTTGTTTAATTTTTATCTATAAAATGTTCAGTAATACTTATAGTATTTAGAGTAACCACCAGGCACCATAGCTTTAAAAAAAAACTAATTAAGGAAAACCTTCACTAAAACTGTGACATGAGTTGATAAAGAATTGCTTGCTTTTTTTTTCCTCTACCAAAACCTTCCTTTGAACTCTGTTAGTCCCGCCCACTACAATGGACCTATTACTAAATAAATGGGAGATCATCTTTTACAAAACTGCATTTATTTATTTATATGAATGTATTTATTGTAATATATCATAAAATAATCTCAGACCAGTACTGGATGAAGAAACACAACACAGTTCAGAGTCTAAAGTATCAAAGCAGTGCACAGCTCAAATTAACGTCTAGGCATTAAACATATGAAAGTTGCATAAATAAACTAATTATTTGAATGTATGGCAGTTCTGCTATTAAAAAGTAAAGAGAGATAGACTCTTAGCAGCTCGGTTTGCTGATAGTTTGACATTACGCACCTTAAAAACTACAGTGCTACAAAAATATATATCTGCTTAACAAACAAATATGTTGTTTAAATTTATTAGGGCTGAAACAGTGATAAATCAATTATTAAAGTAATCATCCACTAATTTAGTAATCGATTAATCGTTAACTGGAGTTTGAAGACTCTAAAACATGCCTTTAGCCAACAGAGTAACCCAATTAGAGCAGTATTTATATCAAGAATGTAAAAGAAATATATAAAAAAAAATTAAGATTGTAAAAAACATTTTCCTCTGTCAATATGCTCTATATAAATCTGCTGAAGTGGAAAAGTTTTTGTTTAACCTGGTTTAATTTTGTGAAAAATCTGTTCTGACATTAAAGTTCTGACTATCTATTTATGAACTGCACCTCTGCTTGGCTTTCCTACAAGCCTGTTATGTTTCAAAAAGAACACTATACAAATACACAGAAACTGAAAAGTAATCCAAATGTGAGACTATGTTGAGTCGTTGGTGTATCTTTGGTCTATTTTAAGAGTCAGCGGGACAGGATGGATCAGACGACAAAGGCTGTGAATAAAAGAAACTGGTCTGTGAGCGCTTGCATTATGCACAGATGAACATGTCACAGTGTTTGCAGTTAATGAGGATACATTTGAAAAGAACAACTAAAGATTATGCAGATCTAAAAGTCCTAAAAACACAAGAAAACGCAGAATCCACCAAATGCATTCATGATGAATTTCTGAAAAGGATTTATAAGGTAAAAAGTTTAAAACAAATATATTAAATATTTGAATAAAAACAAAATTCTTAATTTTCTGTTTGAAGAAACTCAATGGTGTCAAATATGTTGGTTAAATTACATTTTTTGGGGATTTTCTCTCCTTATTTTAGTCATTGTATATCAATTTCTTTAATTCAGTCCATCCATGCAGACAATTTTTTTTTTCTATTTGACAATACTCAAGCCAGAGAAAAATAAAAGCCATCATTATTTATTACTAAAGTTTGTTTTAGCACACATTTTGAGGATAATGATTCTACCAGTATATTAAAATAGCTGAATGAAACATGAAACTCATCAGGTCTGTTTATTTCTCTAATCTGAAAGGCTTTCTGAGAAGCTCCAGCATTTGAAACCTACCAGACCACACCTAGACAAGGTTTGTATGCAGTCCTTCTTGGCTTTCCACATCTCTGAGGGAGTTTCCATGTTTTTTGCTTGCTAATTTATGTCAGCACACCATTTCCTGCTGGATGAGAGGGGGGTAGGTAAGGTTCGCACCTTGGGGCTCAAACAGAGCACTGCATTACCCCAGGGCTGCGACACCATAGTGAAATCTCCCGCCCTGCTTTACTGTTTTTGTGTTGTGATGAACCTGACGCTTTTGATGTTTTCGTGTCACATTACAAATAAAGCCAATTTGAGCTAAAAACAACCTAAACACAGAAGACCCTTTAAATTATGTCTAGACTGACTAGAATTTCCCAGCTTTAAGTGGGAAAGTTTAGTGCTTTGCAGAAATATTAAATGTTGTGTATTTTTGCAGGTTTGAAATGACAAAGTTCAACAATTATCAAATCAAGTGGATCTTTTTTTAATCGTCAGTTTTTCTTAGTGTCATTGGGCACTTTTCAGTTTTTACTGTAAGAAAAGAGAAAAACGAACGTGTATCCTTTTCCATTTTACAAATATGCATGAACTGTGTTGATGTATCTCATCGAAATGTCAATAACATGTTTTTTTTGTTGTTGCCGTAACGTGAAAATATGTGCAAAGTCCAACTGGTTATTGAATAGTTTGCTGAAGTTGTCAGCAATTATTTGTATTCAATAGCTGCATTGTTTAATTATTTTTCATGCGTCATTTCCACACCTGCTGACTCTCTGCTACAGACAGTTTGTGTTTTCATCTCATGAACTTTTATCACAGGATGAGGACAGACGGGGGTTATTTGGGTGGGTAAATAACACCATTGTTTGTCTGTTTTCTCTCTGGTTCCCTTTCCCGCATGAAGCTCCACTGTCCCTCGGACCCCCCCCTGACACATGACCACACCTCCACCGCCACTGCCACCATCACACTTCTCTTTACATGCAAATGAGAATGCCGTTTTTTTTTTCTTTTTCTGTTGTTATACCAAATGACAAGGAAGTGTTTAACCTTAGCAGTTAAACCCAAACCTCCCCCAAATATCAGCAAGGTATCCTTTTAATGTGGTGAGGAAGCATCGAAGAGGGAGGGAGGGCTGGCTGTGTTTTGAGGGGGGGTAGAAAGAGTGAGACACCGTCGCTGGGTTTTGGCTGCCCAAATGGGGCTGTGAGTTTTGACACGTTCATTGACAAATTCCTCAGCTGGGGCGTAAAAAATGCATCTTTTGTTCATCACTCCCAGTTAGTCACAGTAAACCGCAAACATCTTTTTTTTAAAAATACATGTTTTAGCTCTTTCACAAGGCATCGAATTAACTTTTACAGTTTTGCTTTTCAGCAGTCAAATACAGTTGTGGCTACTTTGCACAGTCAAAGCTTTACATTTCATATGGAAATCTCCCAGTTGTCTCATTATGATTATATTTTCTAAAATAATGCAAATTACTATCAAGTAAATTTAATACCTTGTTGCTACTGGAAAGGTCATGTAATGCGAATATTTTCTGTCACCTCTAGAGTATTTTAACCGTAACGTTTGAGATATCTGGAGACCTCCATGAGGATGCCCTAAATGCCTTCATCCAAGTAAAGACACAATCTATAATTCTAGTCCCACTTGCCTTAGCTAATTAGCTTTGGTACCATAAAACTGTATTTTCCACTGTCACAGGATCTGCTTTGGGAGAAGAAGTTCTGTAACAAAGCAGGGGAACCCATGAGTGTCATCCGGTTGAAGGTACGTCAAAGCACAATAGTTCCCTGGTGGTTTTGTTATCTGTTAACTAGATAAACGATTCCTTTGAGGCAGCTTAATGTTTTACTTGTGTGTTTTCAGGGCATAGTATCGTTTCCAGGTAAAGCCCACCAAGTGATGCTGCAGGGGGTCCATGAGCTATATGAGTTGAATGAGACTCCACAGCTTTGGGAGGAAAACCCACATACAAACAGGCTGGTCTTTATAGGTAGCTGAGCTGTCACACACACTCACAGACACACTTATATATCCGCTATTAAAGCCATTTTTAAACATTGATGTTAGAAAACTTGTTATAAATAATCTCAAAGTTGCCTATTGGATCTCTATCAAATGACATGGACTTTTTTTTAATATGCATTTTATTAGTTTTATTATATTCAAACTTAAGCTCCTCAAGAGAAATTACACTCAGGTGTTATAAATTAATTCTTTATATTAGCTGCATACATCAGTGAGTGTCTCTGAAGTGTTTGCAAATTGAAACCACACTCCTTTAGTTTAGTGTCTTGTCATGTTACATCAACAAAGTTCAATATATTTTAACTCATTTTATGCATCGAGAGAATTAACCATAAAAAATACAGTTGCTTGGAAGGAACTATGGGTGCAAAACCTAACTGAAAGAAAACTTTTCACTTGTTGCCATTTCTAGTATAATTCATAGCATGCTGCCCTGAAAATAAAATACTATTCTTCGAAGTTTAGAAATATGTTTTTAAAGAAAATAACATTTTACATTGTATTTAATGAAACAAAACTGAAGCAATTGGATTAATATATGTTGCAAAAGGAACATCGATATAATTGTGCCATATGTCCGTGAGTGAAAGTATCTTATTTAAAGTGACATTAAATCTGCCTCTATAGAAGAAGAGGAATAAGAAATCCACAAAATGGGCTGATTGCCACCTATAGGGCACATAGCCAATATGTGGAAAAGGAAGGCTCTGGTCAGATGAATCCAATATCCAACTTTGGCAAAACCCAAACACTGCACATCACACTGCATAAAATATCACCATAATTAAACATGATAGTGGCAGCATCATGCTGAGTGCGGGGCAATATTCTATAAAAACCTTTAAAAGGCCAACAGACTTCAGACTGGGGAGGCAGTTAACCCTTCAGCTAGACGACACTAAACACAGCTATAAAAAAAAACGTTTTTACTTCTAGATCATTGCTCTTTTTTGAATCCCCCCCCAAACACACTAACATTTGTAACTGTAAAATGTCAAAATGTAAAAAGGTTTATTAACAGGATTGAATGCTTTTGTTTTAGACATTTATTTTGTGTATATAGTCTGCTTAGTCAAATCTGTTTATCTTTGCTCTACATTACAGGCAGGAACCTGGACAAGGACATTCTACATGAGGTTTTCACGTCTACTGTTGTAAAGGATGAAGGAAAAGTTAGTTAAAGGGTATTCTCTGAAGATCACTAGGGGACTGTGTGGTAGTAAAGGTTATGGAAGATCTAGCACTACATCTGTGACAGAGTCTATACTACTCTACTGTGAAATGAAGAGTAAAGATAACTTTAACTTGTGATGATTCACCACAACCTGCTTTAACAAAAAAAAAATTGAGGAAATTTAGAAATGTTTCAATATATATATAAAAAAAACTGTGGTGAACGAATTATAGTTTCTAAAGGTGGCTCTAAGTTTAACCTGCGAGTAATTACACTCTCTAGGGATGCAGTAGTTTCTCAGACTTTCTCAACTCTGTATTTTTGAATGTATTTAAATAAAGTTTTCATCAAAATATTGTGTTCTCTCACTTGTTTGTTTAAGCTTTATGACACCTCATAACCTTGCTTTGAAAATTCTGAAACATTATCAAGACAACACCGTGCGTTAGAATGAGGGACTCACTATTGCAATGCATTCAATTGTAAAAAAAGAAAAAGGTGTTAAAGGAGATAAACATCTCACCTGCATTTTAAAATATCAGAAATTGTCCCTAATGAATAGAAGAAGGACAGTAATTTTAACACAAAAATAAAATTTCAAATATATTTAAAAACAAATCAATTGCAGTAGTGAAATATTAGAAATGGATAAAATAAAAATTGCAAATGTATAGAATTTTGTAAACAAGCATTTTAGCCATAAAACAAACAAAAACATTGTTTTCATTTTTGATCAAATAAAAAATGAGAGGGAAAATCAGTAAAACAATCTTATGTATTAAGATCAAATAAAAAGACATTGGAGTAAAACGTGTTGAAGAAATTAAGGAATAAAATTTAGAGGTATAAGAGGTTGGGGAGAAAAAGCAATAAACACTGCTGTCAAATTTAGGGATACTCTGGTTCAAAGGTGTGGGCTGTAATAAACTGATAGATTGTAGCTTCCATGTAAGTAACAACAGGGGACCTAAGAGACCCAATGTGGACTGGTAAGGTAAAAGCAAATCAAATAAATTGGACTAAATTTATACGGTAAAACCATGATTAAGAACATCTAAAACAGTTTCCTAGCTAATATAGAAGTCTAAATTTGACTTGTTAGGGCTGTGCAGATAAAAAAAAAAAAAAAATCTCCAAAACTGTTTTTAAGGAATGTAAATTGATAAAATATAACACTTGAAATATTTGTGTTCAGTGTCCAAAATTGTGATTTTCAAGTTTAAACATCCACATTTATATATATATATATATATATATATATATATATATATATATATATATATATATATATATATATATATATATATATATATATATATATATATATAAGAAAGGATAAACTGGACTTGATTTGGTGGCATTATTCTGTGTGTCATCAGAGAGTAGCTATTAAAGTGCCATGTGTCTTTACCACCCTATAGTATATACAAATATTTAAAAGTGAGGGAACCTTAAATTGAGCCTTGCAGAGCTCCATGATGCAAATCAAAATGTTTGTTTTGATCAATGTTGCACTTATGGTCAATTAAACTTTTAAGCACCGCTGTTTCTAAAGGGATTAGATTTATTTTACTTATGAAGTAGGTGTCTATCATGCAAGCCTTTTTTAACCAACTAAAAGCATGGATTCAGGATTTAAATCATGGTTTTTGTTAGGCACTGTAAAAATCTCATCCTCGTGCTATTTGAAAGCTTTTATTGGTCGAGTCATGTGGCCCTTTTACACATAATAACAGGCAAAGTGGGAAATAGGTGGAGCTGTCCCTCTTTGATTATTTGCAATGTAGATGCTTTCGTTTTGTTTTGTGTTTTTTTAATGTATTTTTTTTAGCAAGCATCCGCTGTCGGAGCGCTTTACTTTGAGGTTGGCCTCTCTGTGTTTTAGCTGAGGACGCAGTTTGTCCTTAAAACGCAGAGCGCATCACGCAGCTCAGCCGTTTCCTTCTCGATTCTCATGCTGATGGCCTCATTAAGAGCAACTATTGCTTCTCTTTCTCCATTGACTGCGGGGAGCTTAATCCCACGGCCATTTCCACGGCCACGCCACCCACAGTGCCATCCAAAGGTGTTAAACTAATCGCTCTGTTTCTTATCAAGTGTTGGGTGTGGGGTTGGAAATCCACCCAAAACACCCCCGTTTGAAAAAGCTACTGTATGAAATAAAAAAAAACAAGATGCGACTTTAGTTCAAGACTCAAATTTATTGCAGAGAAACTGCTCTGAAGCTTATAAAAAGTAGGAAATAATGTCATTTAACGCAGCATAGCACACAATTAAAAAAATAATGCAACCTTTTTTAAATTTAGTTACTTTAACACAATTGTATCATGTTAGAAAAATTGTGTTAAATAACTAGATATGATTAAGGTAATGCAAAAAACGGTTGGATTATTTTTTCTCAGTGTCCAAATGAGAGAAGTCTGCTATTTTCACTTAAATGCATTTTTTAAAAATGAAAATATACTCAAAAGATTCACAAATGACATTAATTAATCAGTAAATACATAAAAAATGCAGCCCTTCTCTTTATCATAACAAATAAAGGTGGAAAATAATTTCAGCAGAAAAAGCTTAATTTCAATTTTCAGTTGATATAAGGTTCACAAATATATAATGGTATATATAACCCAGTGGTAATGGCTCATGAAGACACATAAGGCATGGTGGTACCCAGAAGGTTTGTAAATATACCAAAAACTGTCCCAAATAAGTATCTAAATAAACAAATACACCCCTCACCACCTACACGCACATAAATTCAGAGCATATTCTTTTTAATAACACACAGTAATACCTTGCTAAACTAAAAACACACCACTTTGTTTTATAAAATATTAGGTGTTTACTTTCTTTTGCTTTAGGGAAGCATAAAACAATCATAACCAAACCAGATCATGTTTCCTCTTTATAAAAACATAGTTTGTGACTCCATAGAATCACTCTAATACAAGGAAGTTTTTGAGTAGGTTGTTTATACAAATAACAGGAGATCAAATATTTTTCTTTCCTGTTTCAAAGTTCTAACCTAAGATTTCTCCTGCTCTCAGTGGTGACCCCCATCTGATCACCCTTTACAGCATTTGATGTGCCATTGTTTACATTCGTTTTAGTTTGTTCTGCTATTCCAATGCCTTCCCTACTAAAGGGAAAAAAAAGAGTGTGAATCGGCCATTCCAGGGCTGAATGGGCCTTTCGCACCAAACAGCCCCCCCCCCCCCCCCCCCCCCCCCCCCCCCCCCACCTAGAGGTGCCTCCTTGCAGCGAGGGGGCTCTGATAGGTCCGAGGGATTAATGGGTCTGGCTTACAAGACAAAAGCATCCCTGTATATAAAAACCTAAGCGCTCACCACTGGACAGAGTCTTATCTTTGGACCAGCTGTATGGCATAGGCGCTTTTACGCACGACGCTCAGTTCCGCTTGTCTTTGGCACTCATAGTTAAGGCGCCATCATGATTATCTCCAGAGAATTTGAAGCGCCTCACCAAACTGCACTTTCTATGGAGGAGAGTGAGATCGATATAGAAGGTGACGAAGACCCTATCCACCCGCTGGTGTTCAGAAACCACTGCTCCACGGACGCTGGATCATCGGCAGAGTTTGACTCCTCAGAGGCAGACTCTTCTGGAGAAGGAGAGAGCAGCTTCTACGCGGACGATCCGACGCCCGGTAAGAGCCAGGGCAGCTCGGTAAAACCTCCCTACTCCTACATCGCCCTCATCACCATGGCCATCCTGCAGAGCCCGCTGAAGAAGCTGACGCTGAGCGGCATCTGTGACTTTATCAGCAACAAGTTCCCCTACTACAGGGAGAAGTTTCCCGCTTGGCAAAACTCCATCAGACACAACCTCTCCCTCAATGACTGTTTCATCAAGATCCCAAGGGAGCCTGGGAACCCGGGCAAAGGTAACTACTGGTCTCTGGACCCTGCGTCTGAGGACATGTTTGACAACGGCAGCTTCCTGCGCAGAAGAAAGCGGTTTAAGAGGAACCAGCCTGCATTCAGCAGAGACGGACTGTTTTACCCCAGCCTGAGCAGATACAGGCCGTACGGACAGTCGTTTTACGCACAAGGGCAGGTAAACGTTGTACCAGCTCCTCCTGTTCGGTACATACCCCTGCAGCACGGTACCATGATGCCCCCCTCTTCTCACCACCTTTCACCACATGTTTTTAACGCCCATGGGAAACTCACTGGGGCCAAAGACTCCAGGGCGCAGCCGTGCGTAACAGAGCCAAAGTTTGGTACGCACGCAAAGTTCTCATTTAGCATTGACAGCATAATGAGCAGGCCATCTTCCATCAGTAATCAGAAACCATACCCGCCTCATCCTCTTCACAGCAGACTTGGATTTGGTCATCAGATATCAAACCCGGCAGCCCATTTGGTACCAACCCTCCTGCATCCTTTGAAGGCTCCCCTCTGTCTCCCTGAAACGCTGAGCAGCCCACCTTTTACAAACGGGCATCTCATGCTCTCTTACACTCGGTGCTGAAGCTACCCGAGACATTATCACTTCTTTTTCTGTTTCTTAAAGAAATACTTTAATTGCATGACATTTATGTGCTTATTCTTGGAAATGTATAGTAATATATCTGGGACAGGCAGATTCAAAACTGCTTATTTAATTTTTTTTCTACAAACTAATAAATGGTTGAAAAACATGTTTTTGATGTGTAATTATTTGGAAAGAAATATAGTAGATTAGGGAAAAACACTTAAAATGTAGTTAAAATGACAGTGACGGTATATTCAAGATTAAGGTTTACTGTGGTTATTATGGTTCTGAGATGGGCTTAACTTGGTTTATGTGGGAAAAAAAGAGAAATAGATATGAAAAAAATATTTGGTTGAGGAATTGCCATAAAACCCTTATTGATTTTTTCCACATCTATGAAAGGTTTGCAGCAAAGTAAGGATCAAGTGGAAATATTTTAGATTCACACAAATAAAATCTAAAGAAAAAAAAAGACAACTTTAACAGAAGAAATATTAAAGTGCTTCTAACCCTGACTAATTGAACTTGTTAATGTAGGCACTGCCATGACTTTATGCCAAAGGTAGGCCAAGAATGAGAAAACAAAACCAGAATAATGAATATGTTTTACACTTTAAATTAATTGACCCTGGGCTGTAATAATTTGGAACAGATCCTCAGCAG